TGGTATGCAGTGGTTAGTACCTGCCACAGTGCATCACAGTTTGCTGCATATGGTTCTGTGTAGCTGTAGACCAGTTAGAATATACATGATGGCCCTTGTCCACTGCTTTAAGTGCCTTCAAATGAGACATGAGCATCAGAACTGGACCATGGAGCAATGGAAGAAGGTTGCCTTCTATCAACTTGCAGTTCTTAAAGAATCTGCTGCTAATTTCATGGTGATAGATACCACAAGACACGTTTTGACGCATCAGAGCTGTTTTGGGAGCACAAAGGAGGACCTACAAGATATTAGGCAGGTAGTTCTAATGTTGTGACTGATTTGTATATTACACAAAAGGGGTTCTAGTATATCCCATGGATTTCAAACCACCAAAATAAAATTGAATATAAGCATACATGGATGTCATGAGGAACCTACCCTGTCCACCCAGATATTAAAAGGCTTTCACTTACGCCACAAAATTAAAACCACCTGTCTAATATTATGTAGGTCCCCCTTGTGCGGCCTAAACAGCTCTAATGGTAGTCTCACAAGACCTCTAAATGTGTCCTGTGGTACCTGGCACCAAGACAATAGCAGTAGCTCTTCTATGTCCAGCAAGTTGCGAGGTGGGGCCTCCAAGGATCAGATTTGTTGTGCCAAGGCTACACCTTGAACTCTTTGTCATGTTCCTCAAACATTCCTGAACACTTTTTGCAGTGTGGTAGGATGCATTATCCTGCTGAAAGAGGCCACTGCCATAATTGCCATTAAGAGCTGTACGTGGTCTGCAACAATCTCTAGGTGGGTGGTACGTGTCAAAGTAACATGCACATGAATGCAAGGAAAAGTATTATAGATCAAGAAAGTAAAGATTTTTTATTTTTTTTTAAATCTGAATTTAAAACAAGGGTTCTTTAATTGTGGGGATTGCATGGGTTGCAATACCACTAAAATGAAATTAAAAAATGTAAACTTTTAGTTCTAATACCACTAAATTAAAATATAAGATTAATTATTTTATCATATGCAACTCTCAAAATTTGATATATGTTCTCGTATGCCCATGTGGTTATCAATACAAAGGCAGAACATCAAGATGATAAAAACACGCATATGATATAAGAACCATAATGTTTAGTTACATTTTTAGAAGTATATATATATATATATATATATATATATATATATTAAACAAGGGGGGGGGAGGGGGTTGGCTGCACTCACCTGAACATGCATAAATGGGGTGCTGCTGGGTGTCAAATTATACAATACACAAGATCCAACGCACTCATCTACCCACTAAACAGCAACTTCAATGTTGAAAGATTTTATTTGTTGTGTTTTTTAAAAAAAAAAATCTAATCTAGGCAAAAATAATGGGGGTTTAGTTACATTATATGATCATGCACTGCATAAGCCTGCCACAATGCAATGGTTTAGCCAACTCCTTGGTTTTGGACCACTCCCTGTCACAGGTGCCTCATCCAAGGGGTCTATTTAGCATTGTACTGCAGAGAGCCCCAGATGGAATTTTTTCCCCAAGTAAGTGGGTTAATCTCATAAGAGCAGACATTAGGATGTTACTGTAAGACCTGCCAAAGATGGGGTACATTGACGTTGTGGCAGGCTTATGCAATGTATGATCATATAATGTAACTAAACCCCCATTATTTTTGCCTAGATTAGGTGTTTAAAAAAAAATAAAAAAATCTTATATTGATTTGTACACTGAAAAGAGCGGCTTTTTTAGTTTTTAACACTGATATGATGCAATATATATTTTAGACCATGTTTTGCATGTTTTTCGTTATATATGATAAGTGATCAACTGTCTCCCTTTTTCCCTTATGTAGGTATTTTTAATGTTTTTCACCTAATGCTTGTGTATAATAATTGTTTTAACTAGATACGTCTGAATTAAGAATGCTGCTTAAAAAGGTTTATGTGCGCAGTATGGTTGTTCTGTTTTTACACAATGTGGAATTTCAAATATGGTTCAATTAGCCTCTGAGGGCAGATCAGGACTTCAGTTACAGGATATCAATAATGACACAATTTGTAGGGGCGGGGAGACCATCTACCCGGTGAGACTCACAGCCAGGACGTCACAGGAAGTGATGTAGAGATGTCTTGGCGTGATGACGTCTCTGCATGATGCCACCACCTGCAAGTAGGAAATGGAGGGAGAGGGTGCAAGTTCCAATTTCCGTTTTTAGGATTTAAATGGATGGACAGCTGATGGAGATAGATATGCAGCAGGAGGAAGGCTATTTAGCCGAAACACGTTGTGCAAATTTGGACTTTTATTGGACTTTATGTTTTGCAATGAGGACATCCAGTGTCAGCTAAAACTCCATAGCATTATTTCCCCCTGCCAGCTGACTTTGGCGGAGGAGGTGCAGAGGAGAAACCTGACCCAGAGCCAAGGGACATCAGTGCTGGAATCAGGTAAGTGACAAAAGGGTTTTCAGCCCCACGGGGGGCTAGGAATACAACATTGTGGTTTCCATTTCCATTTTAAATTCACTACAAAGTCCTGAAATATTCTTACTCAACATATGTAGTTTAGCTTAGGGATATGCAAAGAACATGGTCATGCAATTCTTGGTTGCAGCATATATGTCTTCTACCGCTCCTACTCTGCAGCTAGTACTTGACTGGCTTACCAAAGCAAAAATGTACAAAGAATTGTCTTACTGCTCCAGGTGTGCCCTCCCAATGTTCCAAAAAATCTGGCACAAATTGAAGACACTTCCCCACTTCGAAACTCTGGATGACCTGGTCCTTCTTCTCTTCTAACTATCTCTTCTTTCATACAGACATACTTATTCAGGCACACAGTCATAAAGATATACAAACACACAGTCATAAAAGGCAAACAATCAAATAAAGCCATACATGAACAAAGATAGAGCCATATAGGAACACAGAAACACATACAGAGACATCCAGGCATAGTCATACAGAGATACAGGCATGCATAGACATACAGACACAAATATGCAGTCATACAGAGATAAAGATACACAATCATACAGAGGCATATGGTCACAGGCATACAGACACACATACATAAAGAGACATACAGAAGCATACATACACAGACATATAGTCATACAGAGACATACAGAAATGCCCAGAGTTTCACAGACACAGGCATACAGTCAGAGAAAGACAGACATACAGACACAGACATATTGTCATACAGAGACATACAGACAAATGCATACGGAGACATACAGGCACGGGCATACAGAGACATACATACTTAACATATAGTCATACAGAGACATACAACCAAAGGCATACGGAGACATACAGGCATACAAACACAGAAACATACAGACAAATGCATACAGAGACATACAGGCACAGGCATACAGAGACATAAATACTTAACTTACAGTCCTACAGAGACATACAACCAAAGGCATACGGAGACATACAGGCATACAAACAGACATTTAGTCATATAGAGACAAGGGCATTCTGAGACATAAAGACACAGGCATATAGACACAATCATACAGAAACAGACACAGGTAGTCATACATGCAGTCACCGTTACATACTTACATCTCAGCCCTGTGCAATCAGGTCCCTGGAAAGTGTGCTGTCTGCCTCTGTGGAGTTCCCTGCTGCCCAGTACAATCTCTAGGCTCCAGCAGAGATATGACGTGATTCACATCCCTGCCACAGTATCCGACCTTGATTATAATGTTGCTTGTTAGACTTATGTGGATACCTCTGAATCTTATTTGTGCACATTGTATAAATGCATCGCTACCTTTTTCATATTATTTCAGCACTTTTGTAATTTCTATTTACAAATACTAATAATTCTAACATGAAAAAGAAAATGAAATTCGCTTTGAATTCTCAATAATTCTTACTCTTGAGGATAACCTTAATTTAAATATTAGTCTTGTCCATTATTAGTCTAAACATTTCAGACTAAGTACCTGTGTATGCCCAAAGTCTGGAATGTGGCTTCATATGGTTTGTGCTCCACGTTCTACCTTTATTGTAGCTTTTTATGACATGTTAATAAACCCTAAAATCACGTATTATGACGTAGGATGACATCACTCCTATATTTGAGTGCATTGACTTCAGAGGATGCAAGTCACATGTTATATACATCATTATGATATAATAGTAAATCATGATGTAGGATGACATCACTCCTTATTTGGGCGGGTCACTGTGAACATCCAGGACAGATAGACAGTAAGGTTGCACATAAGAAAGTGCAGCCTTACCTGTGTCTCGAGGTCAGAATTGTCTTAACCCCTTAAGGACATGTCATGATTCCCTTTTATTACAGATGTTTGGTCCTTAAGGGGTTAAAAGCAGACAAATTAGTATGCAAAGATATTTTTTGTTTTTCATATTTTAAACTATATATTTTTTTTAAAAAAACAACTTTAATTTCTTTCAAATTAAAAAGAGTGTTTAAAATTACCCAAATCATATTTTTGAATTATTTGTTTAGAGAAGGAATACACACGTAATAAATGCCTGTTCAATCAAATACTAAACAAGACAAGATGGAATAATTTCACCTAATTCTATTTTTCATTGATTTTGTCCCTAAAATACTATAGTTTTTACTAATGTTTGCATAATGTGAATTAATAATTTGTAGCACTGGTAGCCACTTTAAAGGAATCTTCTGCGTCATTTTATTTTATTTCCTAATCTGTTTATGCATTCTCTACCAATGCACTAAATACTGGGGAATGGTCAACTCCTGCACATAGTGTGTCTCTTTCACTCACAGAAACTAAGCAACATTTACATTGTGCTCAAAATCCAACCTCAAATTATACCGGGTGATATCGTTATTGCATTGCATTACAACATCTTCCCGGGATTATAACACGGCTAGTCTACATGTTTGCCAATAACTAAAATGGCGATTTGGTAAACTCACTAGTAATCCCACCCTTTACTGGTGTGCTAGATTGCCAGTTTAGTACCCGCCCAGAACGTTATATTGACCAATCAGCAGCCTCAAACTAACTTTCTCTCGCACGGAGAGCAGTGACGTGACAGTGCGACCAATGAGAAGCGAGAAGGCGTGGACAGCTTGTTGTGCTGAATATGGGGGTGAAGCTGGAGGTTTTCAGGGTAAATATGACATGTGACCTTTTAACCCTTCTTTATCTCTCGGGTAATAGATGAGGGTTAAGGTATTCTGTTTGGGAATTGTTGGGTTTTTAGTATAAAGGTTGTCCCCTGCTGAGGTCAGAAGAGGTGCACATGCAGTCATGCTGCACATTTCTCCTACAGCAGAGGTGAAAGGGCTGTCCCCTAAATCTTACTAGGTGCTCATCCTATAAGTCTTCTGGAGTTTTGGCTTTATATTTGTCACCCAGCTATGTGCTTCTTAAAGGCAAAGCCCTGCATGCATACAGATGAATGACTGCAAATTTTGCATTGTTATGGTTGTTTAGGGTTTATTTACTAAAGTTTATTTAAAACTAAAAAAGCTACAATTTCTGGTGAAATTGTGTGAAATGTTCTTGCCTCCACCAGTAGTCTACAACTGGAGTGAGCTGAGTAACTGTTGTGTGGTTGGAGTGGCTGGACTACCTGTGGAAAGGTTGGAGTGTGGTTCACTCACTCTACAGCAAGGGCAGAGAAGAACTTTCAAATCTTTCAAATCCCTCGAACATTCCACCAACTGCCAACAGGAACTAATAGATTTCAAATAGGGCAGAGAAGAGCGGTTAGAAACAAACTGCTCCAAATTGCTCAATAAGAATAATAATAAATATATGTGAGATAATAGTAAGTGGTCTTGCCATGGAGGGATATAAATGTACCGTTGTGGCAGGCTTATGCAATGTATGATCATATAATGTAACTAAACCCCCATTATTTTTGCCTAGATTAGGTGTTTAAAAAAAAATAAAAAAATCTTATATTGATTTGTACACTGAAAAGAGCGGCTTTTTTAGTTTTTAACACTGATATGATGCAATATATATTTTAGACCATGTTTTGCATGTTTTTCGTTATATATGATAAGTGATCAACTGTCTCCCTTTTTCCCTTATGTAGGTATTTTTAATGTTTTTCACCTAATGCTTGTGTATAATAATTGTTTTAACTAGATACGTCTGAATTAAGAATGCTGCTTAAAAAGGTTTATGTGCGCAGTATGGTTGTTCTGTTTTTACACAATGTGGAATTTCAAATATGGTTCAATTAGCCTCTGAGGGCAGATCAGGACTTCAGTTACAGGATATCAATAATGACACAATTTGTAGGGGCGGGGAGACCATCTACCCGGTGAGACTCACAGCCAGGACGTCACAGGAAGTGATGTAGAGATGTCTTGGCGTGATGACGTCTCTGCATGATGCCACCACCTGCAAGTAGGAAATGGAGGGAGAGGGTGCAAGTTCCAATTTCCGTTTTTAGGATTTAAATGGATGGACAGCTGATGGAGATAGATATGCAGCAGGAGGAAGGCTATTTAGCCGAAACACGTTGTGCAAATTTGGACTTTTATTGGACTTTATGTTTTGCAATGAGGACATCCAGTGTCAGCTAAAACTCCATAGCATTATTTCCCCCTGCCAGCTGACTTTGGCGGAGGAGGTGCAGAGGAGAAACCTGACCCAGAGCCAAGGGACATCAGTGCTGGAATCAGGTAAGTGACAAAAGGGTTTTCAGCCCCACGGGGGGCTAGGAATACAACATTGTGGTTTCCATTTCCATTTTAAATTCACTACAAAGTCCTGAAATATTCTTACTCAACATATGTAGTTTAGCTTAGGGATATGCAAAGAACATGGTCATGCAATTCTTGGTTGCAGCATATATGTCTTCTACCGCTCCTACTCTGCAGCTAGTACTTGACTGGCTTACCAAAGCAAAAATGTACAAAGAATTGTCTTACTGCTCCAGGTGTGCCCTCCCAATGTTCCAAAAAATCTGGCACAAATTGAAGACACTTCCCCACTTCGAAACTCTGGATGACCTGGTCCTTCTTCTCTTCTAACTATCTCTTCTTTCATACAGACATACTTATTCAGGCACACAGTCATAAAGATATACAAACACACAGTCATAAAAGGCAAACAATCAAATAAAGCCATACATGAACAAAGATAGAGCCATATAGGAACACAGAAACACATACAGAGACATCCAGGCATAGTCATACAGAGATACAGGCATGCATAGACATACAGACACAAATATGCAGTCATACAGAGATAAAGATACACAATCATACAGAGGCATATGGTCACAGGCATACAGACACACATACATAAAGAGACATACAGAAGCATACATACACAGACATATAGTCATACAGAGACATACAGAAATGCCCAGAGTTTCACAGACACAGGCATACAGTCAGAGAAAGACAGACATACAGACACAGACATATTGTCATACAGAGACATACAGACAAATGCATACGGAGACATACAGGCACGGGCATACAGAGACATACATACTTAACATATAGTCATACAGAGACATACAACCAAAGGCATACGGAGACATACAGGCATACAAACACAGAAACATACAGACAAATGCATACAGAGACATACAGGCACAGGCATACAGAGACATAAATACTTAACTTACAGTCCTACAGAGACATACAACCAAAGGCATACGGAGACATACAGGCATACAAACAGACATTTAGTCATATAGAGACAAGGGCATTCTGAGACATAAAGACACAGGCATATAGACACAATCATACAGAAACAGACACAGGTAGTCATACATGCAGTCACCGTTACATACTTACATCTCAGCCCTGTGCAATCAGGTCCCTGGAAAGTGTGCTGTCTGCCTCTGTGGAGTTCCCTGCTGCCCAGTACAATCTCTAGGCTCCAGCAGAGATATGACGTGATTCACATCCCTGCCACAGTATCCGACCTTGATTATAATGTTGCTTGTTAGACTTATGTGGATACCTCTGAATCTTATTTGTGCACATTGTATAAATGCATCGCTACCTTTTTCATATTATTTCAGCACTTTTGTAATTTCTATTTACAAATACTAATAATTCTAACATGAAAAAGAAAATGAAATTCGCTTTGAATTCTCAATAATTCTTACTCTTGAGGATAACCTTAATTTAAATATTAGTCTTGTCCATTATTAGTCTAAACATTTCAGACTAAGTACCTGTGTATGCCCAAAGTCTGGAATGTGGCTTCATATGGTTTGTGCTCCACGTTCTACCTTTATTGTAGCTTTTTATGACATGTTAATAAACCCTAAAATCACGTATTATGACGTAGGATGACATCACTCCTATATTTGAGTGCATTGACTTCAGAGGATGCAAGTCACATGTTATATACATCATTATGATATAATAGTAAATCATGATGTAGGATGACATCACTCCTTATTTGGGCGGGTCACTGTGAACATCCAGGACAGATAGACAGTAAGGTTGCACATAAGAAAGTGCAGCCTTACCTGTGTCTCGAGGTCAGAATTGTCTTAACCCCTTAAGGACATGTCATGATTCCCTTTTATTACAGATGTTTGGTCCTTAAGGGGTTAAAAGCAGACAAATTAGTATGCAAAGATATTTTTTGTTTTTCATATTTTAAACTATATATTTTTTTTTAAAAAACAACTTTAATTTCTTTCAAATTAAAAAGAGTGTTTAAAATTACCCAAATCATATTTTTGAATTATTTGTTTAGAGAAGGAATACACACGTAATAAATGCCTGTTCAATCAAATACTAAACAAGACAAGATGGAATAATTTCACCTAATTCTATTTTTCATTGATTTTGTCCCTAAAATACTATAGTTTTTACTAATGTTTGCATAATGTGAATTAATAATTTGTAGCACTGGTAGCCACTTTAAAGGAATCTTCTGCGTCATTTTATTTTATTTCCTAATCTGTTTATGCATTCTCTACCAATGCACTAAATACTGGGGAATGGTCAACTCCTGCACATAGTGTGTCTCTTTCACTCACAGAAACTAAGCAACATTTACATTGTGCTCAAAATCCAACCTCAAATTATACCGGGTGATATCGTTATTGCATTGCATTACAACATCTTCCCGGGATTATAACACGGCTAGTCTACATGTTTGCCAATAACTAAAATGGCGATTTGGTAAACTCACTAGTAATCCCACCCTTTACTGGTGTGCTAGATTGCCAGTTTAGTACCCGCCCAGAACGTTATATTGACCAATCAGCAGCCTCAAACTAACTTTCTCTCGCACGGAGAGCAGTGACGTGACAGTGCGACCAATGAGAAGCGAGAAGGCGTGGACAGCTTGTTGTGCTGAATATGGGGGTGAAGCTGGAGGTTTTCAGGGTAAATATGACATGTGACCTTTTAACCCTTCTTTATCTCTCGGGTAATAGATGAGGGTTAAGGTATTCTGTTTGGGAATTGTTGGGTTTTTAGTATAAAGGTTGTCCCCTGCTGAGGTCAGAAGAGGTGCACATGCAGTCATGCTGCACATTTCTCCTACAGCAGAGGTGAAAGGGCTGTCCCCTAAATCTTACTAGGTGCTCATCCTATAAGTCTTCTGGAGTTTTGGCTTTATATTTGTCACCCAGCTATGTGCTTCTTAAAGGCAAAGCCCTGCATGCATACAGATGAATGACTGCAAATTTTGCATTGTTATGGTTGTTTAGGGTTTATTTACTAAAGTTTATTTAAAACTAAAAAAGCTACAATTTCTGGTGAAATTGTGTGAAATGTTCTTGCCTCCACCAGTAGTCTACAACTGGAGTGAGCTGAGTAACTGTTGTGTGGTTGGAGTGGCTGGACTACCTGTGGAAAGGTTGGAGTGTGGTTCACTCACTCTACAGCAAGGGCAGAGAAGAACTTTCAAATCTTTCAAATCCCTCGAACATTCCACCAACTGCCAACAGGAACTAATAGATTTCAAATAGGGCAGAGAAGAGCGGTTAGAAACAAACTGCTCCAAATTGCTCAATAAGAATAATAATAAATATATGTGAGATAATAGTAAGTGGTCTTGCCATGGAGGGATATAAATGTACCGTTGTGGCAGGCTTATGCAATGTATGATCATATAATGTAACTAAACCCCCATTATTTTTGCCTAGATTAGGTGTTTAAAAAAAAATAAAAAAATCTTATATTGATTTGTACACTGAAAAGAGCGGCTTTTTTAGTTTTTAACACTGATATGATGCAATATATATTTTAGACCATGTTTTGCATGTTTTTCGTTATATATGATAAGTGATCAACTGTCTCCCTTTTTCCCTTATGTAGGTATTTTTAATGTTTTTCACCTAATGCTTGTGTATAATAATTGTTTTAACTAGATACGTCTGAATTAAGAATGCTGCTTAAAAAGGTTTATGTGCGCAGTATGGTTGTTCTGTTTTTACACAATGTGGAATTTCAAATATGGTTCAATTAGCCTCTGAGGGCAGATCAGGACTTCAGTTACAGGATATCAATAATGACACAATTTGTAGGGGCGGGGAGACCATCTACCCGGTGAGACTCACAGCCAGGACGTCACAGGAAGTGATGTAGAGATGTCTTGGCGTGATGACGTCTCTGCATGATGCCACCACCTGCAAGTAGGAAATGGAGGGAGAGGGTGCAAGTTCCAATTTCCGTTTTTAGGATTTAAATGGATGGACAGCTGATGGAGATAGATATGCAGCAGGAGGAAGGCTATTTAGCCGAAACACGTTGTGCAAATTTGGACTTTTATTGGACTTTATGTTTTGCAATGAGGACATCCAGTGTCAGCTAAAACTCCATAGCATTATTTCCCCCTGCCAGCTGACTTTGGCGGAGGAGGTGCAGAGGAGAAACCTGACCCAGAGCCAAGGGACATCAGTGCTGGAATCAGGTAAGTGACAAAAGGGTTTTCAGCCCCACGGGGGGCTAGGAATACAACATTGTGGTTTCCATTTCCATTTTAAATTCACTACAAAGTCCTGAAATATTCTTACTCAACATATGTAGTTTAGCTTAGGGATATGCAAAGAACATGGTCATGCAATTCTTGGTTGCAGCATATATGTCTTCTACCGCTCCTACTCTGCAGCTAGTACTTGACTGGCTTACCAAAGCAAAAATGTACAAAGAATTGTCTTACTGCTCCAGGTGTGCCCTCCCAATGTTCCAAAAAATCTGGCACAAATTGAAGACACTTCCCCACTTCGAAACTCTGGATGACCTGGTCCTTCTTCTCTTCTAACTATCTCTTCTTTCATACAGACATACTTATTCAGGCACACAGTCATAAAGATATACAAACACACAGTCATAAAAGGCAAACAATCAAATAAAGCCATACATGAACAAAGATAGAGCCATATAGGAACACAGAAACACATACAGAGACATCCAGGCATAGTCATACAGAGATACAGGCATGCATAGACATACAGACACAAATATGCAGTCATACAGAGATAAAGATACACAATCATACAGAGGCATATGGTCACAGGCATACAGACACACATACATAAAGAGACATACAGAAGCATACATACACAGACATATAGTCATACAGAGACATACAGAAATGCCCAGAGTTTCACAGACACAGGCATACAGTCAGAGAAAGACAGACATACAGACACAGACATATTGTCATACAGAGACATACAGACAAATGCATACGGAGACATACAGGCACGGGCATACAGAGACATACATACTTAACATATAGTCATACAGAGACATACAACCAAAGGCATACGGAGACATACAGGCATACAAACACAGAAACATACAGACAAATGCATACAGAGACATACAGGCACAGGCATACAGAGACATAAATACTTAACTTACAGTCCTACAGAGACATACAACCAAAGGCATACGGAGACATACAGGCATACAAACAGACATTTAGTCATATAGAGACAAGGGCATTCTGAGACATAAAGACACAGGCATATAGACACAATCATACAGAAACAGACACAGGTAGTCATACATGCAGTCACCGTTACATACTTACATCTCAGCCCTGTGCAATCAGGTCCCTGGAAAGTGTGCTGTCTGCCTCTGTGGAGTTCCCTGCTGCCCAGTACAATCTCTAGGCTCCAGCAGAGATATGACGTGATTCACATCCCTGCCACAGTATCCGACCTTGATTATAATGTTGCTTGTTAGACTTATGTGGATACCTCTGAATCTTATTTGTGCACATTGTATAAATGCATCGCTACCTTTTTCATATTATTTCAGCACTTTTGTAATTTCTATTTACAAATACTAATAATTCTAACATGAAAAAGAAAATGAAATTCGCTTTGAATTCTCAATAATTCTTACTCTTGAGGATAACCTTAATTTAAATATTAGTCTTGTCCATTATTAGTCTAAACATTTCAGACTAAGTACCTGTGTATGCCCAAAGTCTGGAATGTGGCTTCATATGGTTTGTGCTCCACGTTCTACCTTTATTGTAGCTTTTTATGACATGTTAATAAACCCTAAAATCACGTATTATGACGTAGGATGACATCACTCCTATATTTGAGTGCATTGACTTCAGAGGATGCAAGTCACATGTTATATACATCATTATGATATAATAGTAAATCATGATGTAGGATGACATCACTCCTTATTTGGGCGGGTCACTGTGAACATCCAGGACAGATAGACAGTAAGGTTGCACATAAGAAAGTGCAGCCTTACCTGTGTCTCGAGGTCAGAATTGTCTTAACCCCTTAAGGACATGTCATGATTCCCTTTTATTACAGATGTTTGGTCCTTAAGGGGTTAAAAGCAGACAAATTAGTATGCAAAGATATTTTTTGTTTTTCATATTTTAAACTATATATTTTTTTTAAAAAAACAACTTTAATTTCTTTCAAATTAAAAAGAGTGTTTAAAATTACCCAAATCATATTTTTGAATTATTTGTTTAGAGAAGGAATACACACGTAATAAATGCCTGTTCAATCAAATACTAAACAAGACAAGATGGAATAATTTCACCTAATTCTATTTTTCATTGATTTTGTCCCTAAAATACTATAGTTTTTACTAATGTTTGCATAATGTGAATTAATAATTTGTAGCACTGGTAGCCACTTTAAAGGAATCTTCTGCGTCATTTTATTTTATTTCCTAATCTGTTTATGCATTCTCTACCAATGCACTAAATACTGGGGAATGGTCAACTCCTGCACATAGTGTGTCTCTTTCACTCACAGAAACTAAGCAACATTTACATTGTGCTCAAAATCCAACCTCAAATTATACCGGGTGATATCGTTATTGCATTGCATTACAACATCTTCCCGGGATTATAACACGGCTAGTCTACATGTTTGCCAATAACTAAAATGGCGATTTGGTAAACTCACTAGTAATCCCACCCTTTACTGGTGTGCTAGATTGCCAGTTTAGTACCCGCCCAGAACGTTATATTGACCAATCAGCAGCCTCAAACTAACTTTCTCTCGCACGGAGAGCAGTGACGTGACAGTGCGACCAATGAGAAGCGAGAAGGCGTGGACAGCTTGTTGTGCTGAATATGGGGGTGAAGCTGGAGGTTTTCAGGGTAAATATGACATGTGACCTTTTAACCCTTCTTTATCTCTCGGGTAATAGATGAGGGTTAAGGTATTCTGTTTGGGAATTGTTGGGTTTTTAGTATAAAGGTTGTCCCCTGCTGAGGTCAGAAGAGGTGCACATGCAGTCATGCTGCACATTTCTCCTACAGCAGAGGTGAAAGGGCTGTCCCCTAAATCTTACTAGGTGCTCATCCTATAAGTCTTCTGGAGTTTTGGCTTTATATTTGTCACCCAGCTATGTGCTTCTTAAAGGCAAAGCCCTGCATGCATACAGATGAATGACTGCAAATTTTGCATTGTTATGGTTGTTTAGGGTTTATTTACTAAAGTTTATTTAAAACTAAAAAAGCTACAATTTCTGGTGAAATTGTGTGAAATGTTCTTGCCTCCACCAGTAGTCTACAACTGGAGTGAGCTGAGTAACTGTTGTGTGGTTGGAGTGGCTGGACTACCTGTGGAAAGGTTGGAGTGTGGTTCACTCACTCTACAGCAAGGGCAGAGAAGAACTTTCAAATCTTTCAAATCCCTCGAACATTCCACCAACTGCCAACAGGAACTAATAGATTTCAAATAGGGCAGAGAAGAGCGGTTAGAAACAAACTGCTCCAAATTGCTCAATAAGAATAATAATAAATATATGTGAGATAATAGTAAGTGGTCTTGCCATGGAGGGATATAAATGTACCAATTTATATCAAAACTTCCAGCTATCCCTGCTGCCACTGTGATGTTTTGTACAAATCAGTCAATAATTCCTGTATAACGAAGTACTCACTTTATTAATACATATATAACAGCATCTTCATATTGCAGCCTTGTTACACAGGGTTTCTGCAGCTGCCATTTCAAATCCCTCGAACATTCCACCAACTGCCAACAGGAACTAATAGATTTCAAATTGGGCAGAGAAGAGCGGTTAAAAACAAACTGCTCCAAATTGCTCACTTCACTGGCGGTTGCCATCTTCAAACGGTCGTATTTTATAAATCCTACAGTGAAGAGCTTTATATTGTGAGAATCACAAGACCCAGACCTACATTTTGATGCATAGTATGTCTCTGAAATATGAAGGCACAGTCACAGTGTAGATATTGCCCTATGGTGGCTAGAGTGGAGTTTCAATGAATGTCAATGGACGGCGTTGGTTGCAAACAAATGGTCATATTGTGAAAACTATCAGGACTATGGCTTAGCCGTGGACATTTTTAGTGGCAGCAGGGATAGCTGAACGTTTTGATATAAGATTTGTGTAGGTGGGCTTGAAAACGAGGAAGTGGTGGCAGTTTAGAAATCATGTCCTGATTTTTCAGTTTTTGCCAGCTCCCACTCTAGTTTTGAACATTTTGCCATTCATTCCTATGGGACCAATTTCGCCACAAGAACGACGATATTCCGTGAACCATTCGGCGAAACGTTCCACAAAGTAATAGCAATCCAATCGGGAACAATCCACATGTTTCGGTATATTACTGTCTATGTAGTGTAAAAACTGTGGGAGGAGTTAGGGTGGTAAATTTGGCTATAATAATATATATGTGAGATAACATTAAGTGGTCTTGCTATGCAAGACCACTTAATTATAGATCACAGCAACCACACTGGAAGTATAGCTGTCTGAGAGCAGTGTTTCTCAACCTTTCATGGAGATGTACCCCTGCAGATCTAAAAAAATTCCCAAGAACCCCGACCTAAAAAAAGTAATTTCTATTGATTTAAAGGACCACTATAGTGCCAGGAAAACAAACTTGTTTTCCTGGCACTATATAGTCCTTGGGCCCCCCACCTTTAGCCACTTACCTTAATCCAGCGCGGGGCTCCGTCGGCACTGGTCACCTTGCCTCCCCCTCCGACATCAGCTCCTGAGTGGAGCCGAATGCGCATGCGTGGCCAGAGCCTTGAACACATTCAAACCGCCCATAGGAAAGCATTACTCTTTTCACATTGAGCGTTGTGGAAGCACCTCCAGCGGCTGTCAGGAAGACAGCCACTAGAGGCTGGATTAACCCTGCAATGTAAACATAGCAGTTTCTCTGAAACTGCTATGTTTACAGCTGCACGGTTAAAACCTGGGGGACCTGGCACCCAGACCTCTTCATTGAGCTGAAGTGGTCTGGTTGACTATAGTGGTCCTTTAAATTCCAAAATGAAACGTGTAGTCACTGATGTTTAAATTAATCCCATATTGGAGAGCAAGCCTGATTAAAGGTAGTAACAAATATTTTTTAAAATAAATATGACATAATGTGAATTTTGTGTATTTAAGAAGGTGTGTATGAAATATGTATATTTAATCTGAAGTATAAAAATTTTAAAAAATGAAACAATACACACAAAAGACACTGATACACACATACATTTACACAACGAAGAAACTGGCTCTCGCTCTCACTGATCTGACACACACACTCAGACACCCTCACTTACTGAGAAGCACACTCACCGATGTAACACAAACACATTCAGGGACAAACGTGCTCTCACTGATTTCGCACACTGACAGACACATGCACTTTCTGTCACACACACACTCACAAATCATTTTGTGTTTTTTTTTGGTTTTTTTAAGTCCATCCAGCATCCCTACCTTTGGGAGAGCTGGAGCGGATCCTTTCCCTGGGGTTCATTGTGGAACTTGTGTATTCTTTGTGCTCTTCCAGCAGTAATCCCTCACGTGGTGTTTAGTGATGCCTGCGTGAGAACATAAACCAGCTTGTGGCATCATCGCAGGGTGTGATGGAGCAGTGCTGGAAGAGCACAGACATCAGCACTCCCTTGCTTCCCAACTCTCCTCCTGACACTACATTTCCCCCTCCTGACACATTCGGGTAAGCAGGTGCATTCTCTGCCTTCGCACACAGTCAGCCAGCTCCTGGGGGCTTATGTTGGCCAGCAGGGCAGCTTTCTGAATACTACTTGATTGTGGTGTGCATACCACAGGCTGAGAATCTGTACCTTAGAGAATATTGCTAGTGAGAGTACAACACTGATAGGTTCCTGGCAGGTGAAACAAACCAGGAGCTGAATAGCACTGACAGAATAAAGGTAGTGACGGCTGCGAAGGCTAGTTTCAGGTAAGTAAAACCCACCTTCCCCTGCATCAATTGGCCACAACTCTTAAAACTGATCTGACACCATCAGATGGCTTTGCAAAAACACCAGATGGTGACAGTTACTTTAACTTTTAAATTCACTTTAATAAATAATCCTGTTTGTGTTGTTTACTGCTCTTCTCACATAGATAATTAAGTGAAGAAATGATGAACTATCAATTTAGGAGAAATGTTGATTCCCCTTTAAAAACTTTTACTGTGTGGCAACATTGCCCCTAGTGGTCATCATTGCTCATTTCCAAATGGTTTTTCACTGACAGTATCTTTTTTTCCAGTACATTTCTTTAAAGAGGACCTGTCACCTGTCATGGTTTTTAATACCATGGTTGCTTATGCCCTATAGTTAACTCATGAATTTCTGAGGTATGAAAATTAAAGCAGAGAATCACACCTTTTTAGCTTGCAACTTGGCATTTTAGCTCCCTGTCAGTCATTGTTATAAGGCAGCTCTGGCCTTTGCACCTGGCAGTTGGCATAGAGAGAGAAAGCATACAGTGAAAAGGAGAAATAAAACAATGTTTCTATTGCTGCTAATCATTCGCAATGTTTGTTCTGGCTTTGGCTTTCCCAAACTGGATTATGATGTCCTTTGCTAAATGTTTTATGTAAATTTACAGAAACAGAGCATCTCATGAAAAATGTTAACTCAAGGTCCATCAGAACTTGAATGTTACATTCCAGCTGCAGGATACCTTGAGTGAGGTTTCTAAGCAGAGACTGCTTTTCATGAAAATATACTTCACTGTAATAAATTAATGAGGGTTAGCATGTAAATTGAAAACAAATTGAGTCATAGAAATTAAAATATATATATTTGACCCTTTTTTACAATTTACAACAAACTGTCATGATAATGGCAATCTTGATCTTGGTTGGACCATGGTTGATAATGAGTCTCTTGGAAGAATATTACAAGTTAGGTCATATAATGACTTCACACAGAAAGACCATTCCATTCGGGATCTTAAAGCGACCCTATAGGCACCCAAACCACTTCAGCTCATTAAAGTGGTCTGGGTGCACTGTCCCTGTCAGTTTAATCCTGCAATGGTAATTATTGCAGTTTTTGAGAAACTGCAGTAGTTACCTTGTAGGGTTTACTCCAACTCTTGTGGCTGTCTACCAGACAGCCACTAGAGGCTCTTTCGGGTGGTTAGGCGACATTTGGTCACCTAACTGATGCTAGCCTTTCTTACGCTATGCATGAGAACATCTAGTGTCAGCTAATACCCCACAGGAAAGCATTGAATCAATGCTTTGCTATGGAGTTGTCCTAATGCGATTGCACCGCTTGCCGCGCATGTGCATTAGGTCCCCAGTGTTGGCCGGCGTCAGGGGAGGAGGAGAGAAGGCAAAGCCTGACCTGGCGCTGATGGATATCGGTGCTGGGATCAAGTAAGTGACAAAAGGATTTTAACCCTTTCTTCGCTGCGGGGGACACTATAGGCCAGGAACACAATTTTGTTTTCCTAGCCTATAGTTTCCCTTTAAAATCAAAATACTTAAAAGGAACAGAAATACAAAGGAGAGGAGAGCAATCTGCATCTTAGCTTACTTGTTTCACAGGGGTCAACAGGGGCTTTCAGAGTTGACAGGAGGAACTCCCAGAAGCTCATTATTACAAATTTCTGTTCGTCCAATAAAAAGGTATTTCAAATAACTGCAATACTTAATCTGCATCCACCTTTCTGGAGTAAATATAACTCAAATATTATGTCATATACTGAAACTCACATAAAGGACCACTATAATCACCCAGACCACTTCAGCTCAATAAAATGGTCTGGGTGGTGCTAGGTCCCCCAGGTTTTATCCCTGCAGCTGTAAACATAGCAGTTTCAGAAAAACGAGGGAGCCTGGCGCTTGATAAAGGTAAGTAAGTGGGGGGGGGAGGGAGGAGGGGGGATTAGATAGTGTCAGGAAAAAAAGTTTCGCTGCTTCTTCTGCAACTAAGCCTTTGTGGGATTTGAGGAAAGCTTGGGATCATTTTTTTTTTTTTGGAAGGTCCAATGAAGCTTAAGCTTCAGCTTGCTCACAGATATCATGATGTTTTCTCCTAGGATTTCCTGATTGCAGTTTCTCTAAAACTGTAATGTTTTACATTGCAGGACTAAGAGGGACAGGGACATTGCACCCAGACCACTTCAATGAGATGGTGTGGTCTGGGTTTTCAGCTTGCTCACAGATATCATGATGTTTTCTCCTAGGATTTCCTGATTGCAGTTTCTCTAAAACTGTAATGTTTTACATTGCAGGACTAAGAGGGACAGGGACATTGCACCCAGACCACTTCAATGAGATGGTGTGGTCTGGGTTTTCAGCTTGCTCACAGATATCATGATGTTTTCTCCTAGGATTTCCTGATTGCAGTTTCTCTAAAACTGTAATGTTTTACATTGCAGGACTAAGAGGGACAGGTACATTGCACCCAGACCACTTCAATGAGATGGTGTGGTCTGGGTTTGTATGGTATCCCTTTAATGAACTACTGCTTGTTATGGTACCATGTTATGTTAGTCCACAAACATTTAAACATGTTTGTTTTTTTTCAGATAGTTTTGTTTGTGGCTCTTGAAAATTCCACCCACTATTTTTTAGTCTACCTAGATCAAAAGTATGTTAACACCTCTAAATCTGTTTACTAGTGATAATATAATAAAAAGTTCAATTTTTTATGTCAAATACATTTTCCAAGTTTTGGGTGTGGCAATAATTTTATATTCGGTTTCAAATAGTGGACTAGTTTCAATCACAGGTCTGATCGCTCATATTTGTCTCCACAGATGGCTCTGTATTTGTCATTTCCAGTCTCCATGTTTTGGATCTCTAACCAGGCAGAGTATTTTGAAGAGTATGTTGTGAAGCGTAAGGTGAGTGTCTGCCTGATTTATCGATCTCTAGAATGTAAGCTCATTTGAGAATGGCCCTCAACGCCCTCTGTTCCTGTGTGTTCAATTTGTCTTGTTGCAAGTACATGTCTGTTAGTCCACCTAAGGTACAGCGCTTTGGAGTTTGTTGGTGCTTTATAAATAATAATATTAACAGAGGAGGAGATAAGAAAATCTATATTAAACAGACTGTGGAATAAAGGAAATGTAAACATTCGAACTCTCTTTACAGGAAGTGTTGAGGAAGGCATGCATGCTAGGGAGATGTGACTTGGGCTGCATAAATAAATAATGTAACTCCTGAATGGCAGAGAATTGAGCAGTAAGACTGCATTGGTATGATCTATACACCAAAACTGCTTCATTCAACTAAATTTGTTTTTGTGCCTATAGTGTCCTTTTCTAATAACTAGCAGCTGGTCCACACTACAGAGTTATAACAATCGTGATTTATAATAATAGGCTAACAGGAATTTTTGTTACCCATAAAGAATAACAGGAGACAATAAGAGCTTCTTATTGCTCCTTGTCATGCTAGCTGCTACATTTTATCAGCAGGGTATAGTGTTTGTCTCCATACAACCTCTTGGCCATATATACCGCCTTTCCTCGAAAATAAGACCGGGTCTTATATTAATATTACCCCCCGAAAAGCGCACTAGGGCTTGTTTTCGGGGGATGTCTTATTTTGGGGGAAACCGTAGCAAGCATGTGTTTGTAAGCAGGTCTGGGAATTCCCCTGAACCTAGACCTGTTCACTAAGGCATGGAATCCCACAAATCTATGTTCAGGGAAACTTGCCCTCGATTAGTTTACTCGTGAAAGGAATCCCGTGAATTATTTATTTATAAAATATTTTACCAGGAAAAATACATTCAGATTTCTTTCGTTTTCAAGTATGTCCTGGGTCCACAAAACATTGCATTGATTCATTATGGTACAATAAAATACAAAAACAATATTAACACAATATATACAAAATTTAACACAGAACAGGTAGGAAATATATAATCAGCCATGACACATGCATTCTGTTTTGAGGTATGTAGAGAGGGATCTCTTAAAGCACTTTAGGCTTGGGGAAGATTTTAAAGTGTGCAGGAGGTCGTTCCATAATTGCGGCGCTCCGTAGGAGAAAGAGGATCGTGCCGCTTTCTTTTCATATTGTGGTAGACTAAATAAAGTGCTGGTACTGGATCGGAGGTTATAGGAGATGGGAACAACCGAGGAGAGCATTCTGCTCAGGTACGGTGGGAGTTTCCCAAAAAAGCTCTTAAACACAAGGCTGGAAAGATGAAGTTTAGTTCTTTTAGCATGTCACAATGGTGGGTCCTGTAATTACATTGTAGCACAAATCGACAGAACGAGTTATACAATGTATTAAGTTTGTTAATGTGGGATTGCGGTGCAGATGCATATACTACATCCCCATAATCAATGATTGGCATCAGCATTTGCTGTACAATATTTTCCTTTACTGCAGGGCTTAGGCAATCTTTAGGAAAATTCCCCGAACATAGATTAGCTAACTAGCGACTAGGGCTTATTTTCAGGGTAGAGCTTATATTACGAGCCTTCCCTGAAAAAAAGCTAGGGCTTATTTTCGGGGGATATCTTATTTTCGGTGAAACAGGGTATTTGAGTGTTTCTCAAACTTATTCCTCCAAGTTGGCCATAAGTTGAGTTTGGCTATTTTGGCTTACAATTTTAGCCTTGATGTTCCATTTGCATTTTAATTTGTTCTAATTTGAATCTAAGCAAATAAACTCTTCTAAATCATTAATGATATTTTTTTTAAACATGCAAGTCTCTTTTTACAGTAACATATACTTCTTATTTCTTTATAACAGAGACAATTATTTCCCCCAGAGCGGGAAACGGTAAGTGCTGTGTTAGTATTTCAATCTGTTTGTAAGGTGTATTGATGTGATCTAATGGTGGTTGTATGTGGTTTGTGTGCCAAGTGGGCAAATACAATATCTTCTCTCTTCCTCTACATGTAGTGTATATGCATAGTGAATAAAGCCAGTATTTTTGATATTTACATATTGCTGTACTGCTTATAAGTTTATACCTGCTTGGTACAGTCCATTTTCTACCTAATGGGTACCAACAGTGTGTTTTGCCTCTTTATTCATATAGCATATACAACAAAGAGAACAATGTTTAATTGTGCCACTCCCCTCTCTACACCTGTATAGTGTGTTTACGGAATTTTTACAGACCGTCTTTGTGGGTGGGTGTGTTTTGCCTGTATGAATCTGTATTGTATATATCTAATACGCATAGTTAGCTGTGCTGTCCCTGGTTGTATCTTTAAAATAACTTACCTAGTAAGGGAATATCCTTCCTATACTATTTTTTGGGTAAGACTGGTTACATAATTATGGCTGGCACATAATTAGAAGCATTTGGCACATGAAGCTATATGCACAAAGGTAAGGATATGTTCTCCTTTCAGTAAAATGTGCATGACTTTGATTTTTTTTTTTTCTCTTTCTTTTATTGTTGTATAGAGAAAGGAATTTGAAGATCAACGTGAACATTTCAGAAAACAGAGAGATGAAATGATGGACCAAATGAAATAGATCTATTGGTTATTATATTCCCTTTTTCCCCAGAAATGATTGCCCAGTTTACAGCATGTAGATTGCTATTTTTTTGTACAAATATAAATTGAGATGTTTATGTTTGTAAGACTGTTTTCATTTAAAACAGAGAAAGGGTACTATACTATTTTATTTATTTTTTGGTGGGGGGGGGGGGGTTGTTTTGTTAAGAAGAGGTCTGTTGAGTAGATTAAAGGAGAGGAAAAAGCACTGTGTTAGGCCTAGTACACTTTAAAACAAGCATAATACAAAACTACCAACTCGGAGAAAGAATCTTCGTTTGCCCTCAGTTTTTTGTAACCTGTTGTACACTCTTAGTGATATACACCCTCACTCAGCAGTTACAATCATAGCACCACCTTTCCCGCTTAGTGCTTGGCAAAGAGTGGCAAATCCCCATATCAGCAGTATGAACCTACCACAACTACCTTCTTCCATCCCTAGTAATGATGGTGGTTTTCAGACTGGAAGAAGAAAAATGTAAAATAACCCCCTTAGTATTGTCAATAAACATGCCAAGGTCACAATTCCAGAATGAACAAATACAGTATAAATGCATTCTCATAGTTATGGAACTATGAGAATGCATTTGTTTGTTCTGGAATTTTAACCTTAGCTTGTTTATCAACTAACATGATTTCTGTACTCCTTTGTCGGTCTTGTAGTCTTTTTGTATCTCTTGGCCTCAGCCTGTCCTTTGACCATTCTTGCTTTTGTTAGAAAGTCAAGCCTGGCCACCTCTAAGGACTAGAGGTATAATCCCCAAGGATATGGAAGAGAGAATCCTATTGATAAAATCTTCTAAAAACAATCAGGGAGGCCCAAGGTAGGTATAAAGTACACTACTTTTTATTAATAATGAAAACATATAAAGTAAAATACACTGATATGTTTTGTTAGACAATAGGCTTTATCAAAGTGTTGCATCTTGCAACAGACATCTACAGCAGCATGAAAAGAATAAAACGAAGATCTTTTTCTTGTATGTTTTGGAATGATGCACTGGAAAATAAAATGCACACATATATATTTACTAGACATTTACAAGAATTAAAAACCGTACTAGTTACAGTAAACTTCAGCTTATGTGGCTAAGGGATGTGTTGTGTGTTGGTATACGGATGTAGCAAGTGTGTATATATGTGTGCATTTGTAAAGTAAGATAGGAGCTGTATTCTGTGGGGTGTGAAAAGGAGCAGTTTTATTTTAAAAAAAAATTTCAGCTTTATATATGTTTATTCTCCCTCCCTGCTTAATATCTCCAACTGGCAAGGAGGGACACTATGCGGTATCAGAGCGAGTAAAAGGACCCAGCAAAAGTCCCCCACCACCACCATACAAGCCTGCAATGGCCCAAAAAATGGAGATCTTAGACCTCACCGCGTGTGTGTGTGTGTGTGTGTGTGTATATATACATATATGTGAGTGTGTATATATACGTATACAAAATATATAGCAATACAGAATATGCAACCAAGGCCCCTTACACACCACAAACTGTTAACACAAATCATGCTCATCACAAACATCAAATACTGCCACCACACATAGGTCCACCCAGCCTCCCTTTTCTTGCCATGAATGGGCCTGGCATACTGTGTGGTTGATGAAACCGGCACACGCCGGGGCGGCACAAAAATTACTTGTCAAAATTACCGCACGCACTCTACACTGGGAGGGGGAGCGCCTCCTGCCCTGCGTAGGAGTCACGTGACACCTGGCGCTCATTCTGAATCAGCACGCCACCGGTGTGGATGTCCAGACGTCCCCTTCCCCTGCTATGTGAGGTAAACGTTAGGGAGTGGGGCCAAAAATGTGTGGGCTAGAACTGGACGCAGGCTCTGTTAGTCTAAAAGCTGCCTGCCATGAGAAAGGGAGGGAAATATGGATGTGATGGTTGTCACAGGCCCGGCGGTCCTGGGGGGCCTGGACTGCTCAGGGAGTCCCAGACCCCACATTCCCTATGTGGACATATATATGGTGATTGTGACGAGACCAATCTCGCCACTGTGCATTGGAGGAGCCTGGTTGCCCGCCTGCTGCCTTTAGACTATGGCCCCATGTTGAAATGCTTGATTTTCCCCTGCGAAGACACGAAAGTCAGGTCATTCGGTGCTTGCCCTGTTTGAGCGGTGATACCCCAGATAGCTATGCCATGGAGCCCATTCGTATAATGAAAGACTATGGGAAAGACTTTGGCTCCATGGCAATTGAACTGTATGTGTGTGCTCTGAGCGCCATTCAGTAATAATACATCCAAAATGGTTGAAAGTACAGTTACATCTAAGAATTACAAAGTAAAAGAATTTATCAATTGCAGCTCTACTAAAGTCATCTATTTCATAACATGCAGCTGCAAGAAACAATATATTGGTAAAACATACCAACAACTCAAAAGAAGGGTTCTTCAACACATCTGCTCTATTACTAATCTTAAGGTTTCCACCCCTGTCGGTAATCACATGAGACTACACCGTGATGGGGATCCTACTCATTTGACCTTTCAAGCCATAGAAAAAGTATCTATGAACTCCAGAAAGGGAAATTATAATCGAATGCTACTAATGAAAGAATCAAGATGGATCTACTATTTTAAAACTCTGACCCCGAACGGTCTAAATGAGGAGTTCAACTTTACTCCCTTTATTCATAAATAATGTGCAATCACTTACATAAGATCTACCTCAGAACTAAGACCTAGTTAATTCTTTCTTTTTTATCTTATGTAGCTTCATAGTAGACTTCAAAGACATCTGTATTATAGCTCCAAATTCTTGTGGGCTATACCCTTCTGGTCATATATAAACAACTTTAGTTCTTTACAACTGGCATTCAACTTAGTCTATGGTCACACATTGGTGACAGTTAACACTAGCTGTTTTTTACATGTTATAAATTAGACATAATCTTTTTCTTCCCTCCACCGAATTATAAAGCAGATTCATGCATAGACCATTTGATCTACACGTATCAACAACTATTGGCCTTCGGTTTTCCTCTGGGAACCATAGGTATCCATCTAGATACACACCTTAGTTAGATATCTCTAAATAAGTTTTCCGATACAATTTGCTTAGCACACATACTTACCTTTTTGGTGACTTATATAAGATGCAACAAGAGGTGTTTCTTTTTCTCCTCTATCACTGTAGCTCTTTTAGGTTTGATACATATTTTTTGATTCCCTATCTCACTTCATCCAGCCATACTTTGGTAACCATAGAAATCCCTCTGGATCTATACTTAAGTTAGGCATTTCTAGACAGGCTCTTCTATATAATTTGCGGAGCACACATATACTTACCCTTCTCACCGAGCTACACATGGTGCAACAAGATGTGTTCCCTACCTATCCCTACTATTGCATTACTTCAGGTTATATATATCTAGATTCTTATATAACTTTAAGCAGTCACACTTATAGGGGACCCTCTCATGTTCCTAATTATTTTGGGTGCATTAAGAAGCTATTACTACCATATTCGACAACAAGATTAAGGTTTCTTTATCAAGTGTCTCTGTGTATAATTACAGATTCCGTTAAAATTTGGTGCTCTCTTGCACGGCACCTATTCAGTTCGATCTGCCTCTTTGCTACACTCTGCTATCAAGTAACCACACACATCTGTTCTATCTAGTCATTTTGTATCCAATGACAATACACAGTCTTAATTTAATTAAAATAATTGAGCACACTTCTAGGCGATTTTTTGTTTATATTTATTCTTTAGTTTTACATGCATCCATATAATCCTCTCGTACAATTTACATTCAGAAGGGCTAGCCTTTATTACCTTTGGTCCTTCTGACCATGATATAAATAGTGTTAATTATACATTTCCTATACAGATATATTCTTACCACTTCAATGTGGTATTAATGGGCATATATTATTTATACCAACAGAATTGGACTACATTGTTTAAACATCTTCTTTTTTTTTTCCTTATTACCATCCTCGTTTTTTAGCCAAGATATCAATAACATCTTCCGACATTAGTGTGCTCTCTGTCTGGGACCTGAAATGGTTAATCAACCAATCTTCCCCTGACGTCATAAACTGGGCGGGTCTATGGCCCATGACGTTGAGATATCCACCAATCAGAAACATTTGACTTGACCAATCACGAGCCACTGGCTCTTTTTTAAACCGAGTGTTCCACACCGACCGGTTCCCTTCTGACGAGCCTGGTCGGGTGAAACGCGCGCGTCAAGGGATTTACCACGGTATTAGCAATATCGATTCTACACGCTCTTCTATGGCACTTTATTCTCTTTATCTACGAGGGGGGTTGGATTTAGGTGCCCTTGAAGGCACGGGTGGGCTATTTAGTCCGTGTACCTGATGTACTTTTTATCTTGTTCCTTACAATTTGTTTCTTTCTCTTCCTCCTTCTATACTTGTTATTTTTGTTAAGGAGACGAGCTGTAGGTGCCCCTTCATAGCACATCGTGCCTTTGCAGTGAAATCTTAAATATACATATTTTCTCTGTATGTGACACCTCAGGGGCTCCCCCAGCCTAACGTTGGTAGTGTATACAGTTTACCTAACACTTAAACCAACCTCTGATGAACAAGCTACAATCTATTTATCTATTTAGTCTGCTTTAATCTTATATTTATTTAGGCTCTCTATACTTAAGGCAGTTTTTCCTATCTTACATTCAGGTCTCATACCCCCATCCCTCCCCTACTTATATTACATGGTCAACACATATTTCTGTACAGCACAGACGTGTGCTATAACAGTTAACCTAGCAAGTGCAATATAAGAACCTCTACAATCTGCGGTTATTAAGCTAATCTCATTGATTTTAGCATTTCTTTCTATGTATGTACTCTTACACTGTATTTATTTTGTGTGTTACACTTGGGTGATTGCCTCATTTTTTAGTTGGCAATTTTTAATATTAACTTAATAAATTATTTTTAGTTTTTTGAATTGTATGACTAGTCTTCCGTGTGGTACTCGCATCTAGTTCCCAGTACCTAATAACGGGTATACTACTCCCTCTCCTCTTTTTCCATTCAGTAATAATGTGCGCTCCGATCTGAGCTATCTGGGGATATGTTGAATGTACCTGTTTTGTGCAATGGCTGCACAGTTATATATTTTTATGTGTTTTATTGTCTTTTGCTGCCATGTGTTCAATGGAGTTTTGCTTCTGTCCTTGGAGATAATTGGATTACTTCCCAATTATCTCCAGGATAGAAGACTCTGTGGAACTGGTTTTGGGCAGAAAAGCCATGCTTCATTTGGTCACAAAGGACTTCAATCTATCTTTTGAACCAATGGACCAATTTGGATGATTTTGACATATATTTGCATTTGGAGTATGCTGATTCTGATTATGTGAATGTGATGCATACTTTTCAAGTTATGAATAGTGATGTCCCGAACGGTTCGTCACGAATGGTTCACCGCGGACTCATCATTGAGTAAACTTTGACCCTGTACCTCACAGTCAGCAGACACATTCCAGCCAATCAGCAGCAGACCCTCCCTCCCAGACACTCCCACCTCCTGGACAGCTCACTAAGTATGCAGCTTCACAATGAATGTAAAATGGATGCTGTCCAGGAGGTGGGAGGGTCTGGGAGGGAGGGTCTGCTGCTGATTGGCTGGAATGTGTCTGCTGACTGTGAGGTACAGGGTCAAAGTTTACTCAATGATGAGTCCGCGGCGAACCGTTCGGGACATCACTAGTTATGAATAATGTGGAAAAACTGTATTTCTCTGGCTGTTATAATTACATTACCCATTGTGTAAGGTAATTGTATCACAGGCAGAGGGGAGGATTTTGTGTGGGAGTGTCTGAGTGTATTGTACGTGTTTATTGGTTGTTTTCCAAAACCCTGTGGGTGGTACTAATGTGTACATAAGAACAATAAACCCACAGCTCTGTCTGTTCACTGCTTGACCCCCAACACGGAGCTTTGTCTCGTTCTTGGGGGGAATTACTGTATTCTGTTAGAGACTGATTGCCAGGAGTGTAAGCCGCTTGGGTGCTTTTCCTGTTCAGCTGCTAGCAGCTATTCGTGAGGTTCCAGTTCGGGAATTTGGAGTGCTACTTGGTATTCTGTTCGGGAGTTTAGTGTTCTGCAGTAGCTGTGCCTGTGTCTCTGGAAGGGGAAGATCTCCTAAACAGCTTTTAACCCCTTTTATGCCTGGGGGTGCCGTTACAGTGATTATCGATATATATAGGTGCAGCTGCAGGCCCCCAGCTGCCTGTATTCCGCAGAGGGGCCCAGCACACTCCATCTGCACACTCCAACTTCTCTCTCTCATTATTCTCGCAAGACCCGCTGCAGAAAGATCTTTGCCACAGATACCATGGAAACGCTCTGTGCGGCACACAAAGTGTGCTGTGCCCCTCTGCCATGCCAGCGGACTACCAGGGAATAGAATCTCCACCCTCCTTGGTCTCAAGTAAGAAGCAGGGAGGGGGGAATAACATTTATTAAAATAAATGTGTGCACAACATTTACACAAACTGCATACACTAATAAACACTGTATTCACTAACACACACACACACACACACACACACTGCATTCACTACACTAACAGCAACACTAACACTGCATCCACTGAACACTGCAAATAATACACACAAACATTACATCCACTACACAAACACACTCTGTATTTTCTATACACTACACACACGCCTAGACCTTGATCTTTATTTGAGGCTCCAAAATTTCTCATGGAAGCCCTGTACATGAGGCTACCTGCACATCATGGGTTATTACTATGACATGAAAATAAACAGACCCACCATACACAGCCAGCCCAAAACTACAACAAACACAAGCAGTCCCCATCGCACACTGACAGCACAAAATGAACTCGACGACCAAACACTGTTGCCTGTTTTCATGCAAACGAGATGGCCGCCACCTCGTGGTCATCCATAGGAATTGCGGCCACCCAGACAAATACTTAGAACACTGCGGTGGAAATTGCTACAAAGTAGCAATTAGGCTTAACAAGCTGCAGGGTGGTCTCCAGTTCGTGCGGCTGTTCGGTTCACGAACCAAATATAAAATCCCACGAACCAAGTCTGTTCACATTGTGTGGTTTTTTAAAGGGCCCATAGTCATTTGGTAAGAGAGCAGGCCCCTCCAAGCTCGTGTGACGAGGTTCAGTTCGTCACAGTGCCTATCCATAAAAGTGGTGACACTACTTTGGTTTCTAACTATCGCCCAATATAATTGCTCCCAATATTGTCAAAAATCTTAGAAAAATGTGTCCATATGCAAGTATGTGAGTATAACCATCAATCGAAACTATCTGACCCCTGATCAATCAGGTTTTCGCCTGAATCACTCCACTGCAACTGCCCAATTAAAAGTTTGTAATGACATCCAAACTGGCATGGAACAAGGAGACCTAACTCGAGCTATTTTCCATGATTTGACATGACACAGTAGACCACGACATTCTACTGCACAAACTAAAAAACTCAGGTATTGGTGATCGTCCGCTAACCTGGTTTCAGTCCTATGTATCGGAATGCTTACAATATGTGTCCATTTCTGACAGCGACACCCTCCCTCTCCCAGTCACGTGTGGTGTTCCCCAAGGTTCCATTCTCGCCCCCCTACTAATCACATTATTTATAAATGATCTGCCTAATGTCTGCAAATCCTCAATTGTACACATGTACGCAGTCGACACAGTAATCTATGCAAGCAAATCCGATCTACAGCAGCTTGAGGCTGTGCTCCAAGACCAGTTCATAGAGGTAGAAAAGTGGATCACAAAAAACAAGCTCTTCCTAAACACTGCCAAAAAATCGTCACAGTGATCTTTGGAACAGTACCTAAATTACACAAATTACATAATTTCCATCTATCCATCAAAACAAAATCAAATAGCACACTGACCGCAGTCCACTCTTTCAAATACTTGGGTATGATGTTAGATCCCAATCTATCTTTTGCCTCCAAAAAAACTTGCATCTAAACTTTATCCAAAACTAGGTTCCCTGTACAGAAACAAATCCTGCCTAAGCCCTACAGTAAAGGAAACGATTTTACAGCAAATGCTGATGCTAATCATTGATTATGGGGATGTAGTATATGCACCTGCACCGCAAACCCACCTTAGTATACTTAATACATTGTATAAATCGTTCTGCCGCTTTGTGCTACAATGTATAAATCCAGACGCACCCTTCATCTTTCCAGCCTTGTGTTTAAGAGCTTTTCTGGGAAGCTCCCACCGTACCTGAGCAGAATGCTCTACCCGGCTGTTCCCACCTCCTATAACCTCCAATCCAGTACCAGCACTTTATTTAATCTACCTCAATAAAAAAAGAAAGCAGCTCCTTTTTTATGGAACGACCTCCTGCACACTTTCAAATATTCCCCAGGCCTAAAATCCATTAAGAGATCCCTCTCTACATATCTAAAAACAGAATGCACCTGTCATGGTTGATTATATATTTCCTTCCTGTTCTATGTTAAATTTTGTATATATTGTGTATTAATATTGTTTCCGTATTTTATTGTACCCTATTGTATAAAGCAATGTATTGAGAACCTAGGACTGTGATGGCGGACCTTTTTGAGCCAGAGTGCCCAAACCGTAATACATGCCAATTTTTTTTTTTCCTCAAAGTGCCAAAACGGCAATTACACCTGAATACTGAGGTTTAAGTTTAGAAAAAACAACTCATACAGTTGTCCGAACTAATTAACATCTCTGTGTGTGTACTTAGCAGTCTGTCTGTGTACTTAGCAGTCTGCTGAATACACACACAGACTGCTGAATACACACACACACACAGACTGCTGAGTGTACACACACACACAGACTGCTGAGTACACACACACATACTGCTGAGTACACACACACACAGACTCCTAAATACACACACACAGACTGCTGAGTACACACACACAGACTGCATGCAGATGGTGGAGACACTGAATGGCAGTGCTGCTTAACCTGCAGCACTACCCCAGGAAGCACCTCTAGCAGCCATCTGAGGAGTGGCCAGTGAAGTTATCACTAGGCTGTAATGTAAACACTGCATTTTCTCTGAAAAGACAGTGTTTACGGCAAAAAGCCTGAAGGGAATGATTCTACACACCAGAACAAATTCAATAAGCTGTAGTTGTTCTGGTGACTATAGTTGCCCTTTAAGTGACACATTAGAACTAGGTGAGGCAGACTGCAAGTACACAAATGGTAAGAAGTAGCTGAGTTTGTCCTATGTATTTATTTTATATAATTTGGAAGCCAGGAC